TTAGGTGGTGGTTAGGGAGGGTTTGATGATGGCTTACCATAAGTGGAGTCGACACACTCGGATTTGTCGGTACTGAAATCGAAGTACTTGCCGTCCGGACACTGGCATGCATTTCCCCGGATTTGTTTGGGCGGGTTGTCTTGTGGCGACGATGTGGGACGGGGTAGGCATTCAAGTCCCAGACCCGACTCGCACGGCCGGTTAGAACTGCAGTTTTGGTTCAAAATACCTTGTAAAATTAGTTTGATTGTGAGTAATTTGTATAATCAAGGTGGTATTTATTAATATGTTAGTAATTTATTTGTTCAGTGATTTAAATATTTGTAAATCTTTTTCGACTATTGATTCAAATGAAAGTAGTAATTATACTTAAAATATTGTAATGCCGGTAATAATATCTAATAAACACAACTTTGATTCACAAAAATTAAAAATAAATTATAATTCCAGAATAATTGCTACTTAATATTAATGAAAATTAGTTTAATGAAAATGTGAATGTAGTTTTTCAATGAGAATATGTTGGTAATTAATTCTGTATACATTATTTTCATTGATACGTTAAAGTTTAATGATTACATTGAGGGACAAATTGAACAGATAGTGAATCATTAATAATGACTACAATGAAAAGTTTATAAAAAAAATATTTGAATACAATATACCGAAAAAATAATTTATAATTCAGTACCACTGAACATAGCATAACAATAGCTATTCATAGTACTCTATTATAATGGCATACCTCTGCAATTCCTACCACTGATATCTGTATGGATACACATCTTATTATTATTATAGGGATAGACATCTGAGACCTGACAGCACACCTCCGATGTCCGACACGGCTTGTCATCACTACAGATGATATGTGTATTATAATCGTGTGAAAATATGTTATAATCGGCGATATTCTGGTGAATGGATTCACTCCTAAAGAATTTGTCGACAATTGTCGTGAAATTCTGATCACTATTTGCAATGAATGTCTTAAAAGTTTGATTTTCACAATAGGCTACACTTATGAATACATGAGCGAGTATGTAATTAATTAGCAGGTATGTTTGATTTAAATACTGAGACATGTTTTGAAAACCACAAACTATTAACACAACACCATATGAAACACTAATTAATACTATTTTATTATTATTACAAATTCAATGCTAAATGTATTTTTTCAAAGTATAATAGAAATTGCATTACATTTAGTATTTTTGTCGTAACTAGCGTTTTGTAAAATACTTATTTGAATGCTAACTATTATATCAATCCTTTATTCGACGTATGTTTGCCATAAAATAGTTATCGTTTTTAGGCCTAACCTTATGAACACTGTTATGACAATTGCGATAAAAACTATGGCAAAAGTGACTTTAAATGATATTTTGCGAGAAATTTTTATTTAGTTACGAGTGTTTGCATTGGAGATAATTTGCAAACATCTCTCCCATTGCTATCATTATCCGTATTAATCAGTGATTTAAACATTTTATTCACAAATTTATAATGAAAATGAATTATTTGTTGAGATATCTGTATAATACGGAACTCGTATTATAATTGTCTTAAAAATCTAATGTATTTTTCTATAATAATTAGAAAAGTATTTTATAAAAAGTAACATGCTATATAAAATCACAGTTTTATGACATGTTTATTGAAATTAAATGGTAAACAATGATAAAGAAATGAAAGTAAATATAAATTTAATACTCGTTATAAAAGTCAGAGAAATTTGTTTCCGATAATCAGCTTTCAATACATATAACCGATAATCAAATGATAATTGAATGAAAACCGGAAAATTAATTAAACATTAATAATTGAATTTGTAATACAATACTATTCATTAGTATATTAATAATTAAAACCGAAATATAGATTATATTACTATTGAAACAAATGTTTAAAACAACCAAGGGTCTAAATTATCCAGATAAACTAATAGGACCAGATTCTGGTAACTAGAATCAATGAATTGATTGTATCAGGGGAAAAACTTGCTGAAATATACGTCAACTAAGAAACAAATGTTTAAAACAACCAAGGGTCTAAATTATCCAGATAAACTAATAGGACCAGATTCTGGTAACTAGAATCAATGAATTGATTGTATCAGGGGAAAAACTTGCTGAAATATACGTCAACTAGAGAACGACACGTGCCCGCCTTGGCGTACTGGGCGCGCGCCCAGGGCATGCCCGGCGTATTTGAGACGCGCCGCCCGCCTAGTTTTAACATTAAAACTTTATTATTTAATTAATTATAAGTTAAATTAAAAGTTAATCTTTTACAAAACATTTATCTATACTACTGACATCTATTTAGTTTAAAAAACAACCACAAAATATTCTGTATTTTACTAGATTTAACAAAATGCGCCCTATGTGCAACAAATACGTCTGGACATAATAATAATTGTCCCCCTTTTCACCCCTTATTACACGATGTAATACAGTATATGAGAGAAGGGTTTAGCCCCTCCCATTTTTATGGGCACGCCGGGCGGGCGTGGACCTATTACTCACACGCCCGCCCAACCGTCGATCTCTAACATCAACTTTGTGTCTACTAAACGTTACTTATGCTATACTCATAAATACAGTTTAATTACCGTCAAAATACTATATTTTAAACCTATTTCAACCACAATAAGTCCTAAAAACTAAATTAAACTGATTAATAGATCTAGCTAATCATAATGTATAAACAAAAGCACATTTTTCAACAAAAATACACCTTAACACATATCACTAAAAGTGTTTTTATTCACTAAAACACACTACAGTTACCTAAAGCGAGAGTTGTCTGTATCGGTGGCTAAAAGTGTTTACAAAACAGACAATTGTGTGAAACGTATCGCGTATTCACGACACAAATGAGTGGCTAATCACCAGTCGATGCAATCATACCATCGCGCTGAACGCCACTGATATCACCCATTGCGACAATGTGGCCATCAAATGGCGGACACGAAGAGTCTCAGGGCTGGACCCGCGAACAGCACCAGTGGTCGAGCCAACAGTCCTCCTATTGTCTATCAGTGCCGCACGAGTCGGTCGATTGGGCACAACTGGCCAAACAGTGGATCCAAATGCAGGGCCAATCACCGCACACACCGCCGCCACCACCACCTCATCATCGCATGCCTCAGCCCATGGTCTCCATGGCGTCCCAAATGCCTCCCATTGTCTCACAACAACTACATCCACGTCCGCCGCCACTGCCGCCACACTTCGCGCCGTTAGCTCCCGGTGTAGGCCCTCACCGGCCGCTCGTCATACCGGAGGACATGTCGCGACCCGTCTATCAGACCCCCATTGAGGCCAACAACTGGAACCGGAGTCGACCGCCGGTTACTATTATCCACCACTCGTTGCCACCGATGGCGCCGATGCCACCCATACCTCAGCCACTGCTGCCCACACCTCCACCGCCGATGCGAGCGATGCGTCCCCCAATGGGTCTCAACTATCAGCCGCCGTACGACTGGAGGGCACCGGGAGGTCCGCCACCGATGCACTCACCAAATAGCGGGCCGAGCGATGGCGGCAAACCAGCCATGGATCAGATGATGGAGTCGATGGCGGCGTTAGACGCGGCCAAGAAGAAGAACCTTCCGATTTGGCTCCGGGAGGGTCTCGAGAAGATGGAGAGAGAGCGGAACCGGCAGAAGGAGAGGGAGAAGGAGGAGCACGAGAGGATGGAGAGGGCGCGGGCTGTCCGGCACAAGGAGGAGGAGCTCCGGCGGGAGATAGAGTGGGAGCAGAAGTTGGCCAACAGGTACGCCAGCGATGATGATGACGATCGGGACAGCAATGAGGGGTCAGTCGGTGGCCACCGATCGGGTGGTGATGAGAGCGCGCCCGTAGATGAGGAGCAGATGGTGTGATAAATGGCTTTTCATATTGTGTTTTGATTAATGACTTTGTTTTTTGTGTCTCAAAACAGATGTTAAGAGTGCGTAAAGTATTGACACAATTGCTGTTAGAGGTGACAGACAGTGAGATCGAGTCGATAGCCACCGATGCCTACAATAAAGCGCTCGATAGAGGTATTTGTCATACGAGTGACTACTCGCGAGTCATGAGTTACAAGTGTTTCCGATATATAGTTAATGTTTTGCTAATTAATTACCAACTGATGATTGATTTGTTTATTGAGATGCCTATCCATACAGAGAGTATTAAAACATATTTTGTTGACAAACCACTCATTATGTGATAATTTTGTATTAAATATATGCTTTTGAATAACTATTAAGTTCCAGCGGTTAGGCTGTCCATCGAGTCGACAAGTTTTAAGAAACCGACGGCAAGTGGTATGTAATGAATGCGATGATCACTCAATTTGAGTACACATTTGACTACCAATATTAACAACAAAATGAAATCGTAATGCATGTCTACTGTACACTATATGTCCACTTAATTGTAATCATAATAGCGTTTAAGTCGAGTTTTTTTCAGGCTTTAATTCATGCGTTGATTTTGTTTTGTTTTGTTTTATTGTAAACTGATCTTAAGTTTTAGATTTTTGTAATCAAATCTAATTGATGTGTCAAAACACGATTTGAGAGTGAATTTGATTTGTGTGTCAATGCGTTCATTACTAATGAGTTTTGATGATTAGGTGGACTGACAGGCCTTTCGGGTTATGGCAGCGAATCGGATGACAGTGCGGACCAAATGGACGATAGATCTGATGAAAAGCGTTCAGAAACGGATCAAAACACCAATAATGGACACAAAAGCGACTCAAACAGAGAAAAGGATTGCAATAAAAGTAAAGACAAAAGCGTTGAACGAAACGGTAAGCAAACGGATGTCTTGTCAATCAGTTATGAATTGGTTT